TATATTTCAGATTTAATAAACATTTCACCCAAATATAAATACCCGATTCCTCGCAGCATCGATGCTTTTGTGTCGATATTTTTATGAGTGCGATACTTTGCATTCGATATCGTGTCCCTAGGTATACCTTAATGGTAGAAAATTAAGGTCACTTACCAAAGGATGATAATCCTTTTTAGGTACACTGCGATACCGCTCCCATTTTGCCATTACATCACAAACCTTCTCTTCACTTGATAAACTTCTTTCAGAATTCCCGAACATTTCATACAATGCATATCCTAAAGAATTTTCCTGTAGGCCAATTGTTTTTTTAATTATTTGAATAACATCATTGGCCGTTGAGCTGGGATGGAACTCAAAAGAATAATATTGTCCATCCATAAAATAGACTTTTGAATAGCATGGCCTTCGATTTGTCGTACACAATATCTCTTCACAGCTCGGAGTCCATTGTCGACGTCTAGTTCCTTGAGTTCTTAGGAAACACTTGAAAAAAATTATTTAAGCCACTTTATAAATTGCACGTAGTTACTTTATAAATTAAAGTTATATAATCATATTAAAAAATTGTGTATTTTTAGTTTTTGCTTTAAAAAAAAAGAAATATAAGTTGCTTGCAGGTTTCAGGGGATCGTAGTCGAGCAGTCTCGAGTAGAGCTTTCTTACTTGCTTATTTTTATTGTTTTTAAATATTTAATTCTCCCAATTGCAGTAAATGTTCGCTATGCCATTATTTTTTAAATATATAAATATATTTTAGTGTATAATAATTTTTTTTTTATTAATATTTGTAAATTTCATTTGAATTTTAAATTGAAATTCTTGCTAAATGCATGTCCGCCCGTTTGTCCATATTACAAAACTTGGGTGACTTTAATTGCCAAAATAAGCAATAAGTCGAGACTGCTATTTCAATACTTCTTCACGTCTTTCATTGACTGCAGTGTGGGCTTACTATGGCAATTTAATTGTTTAATAACTTGTCATGTCATTAAAATTTTCTACTCTCTAGCTCTTATATCTCCTGAGATTGACGCGTTCATAAATACATCTCATTTACAAGGGGTTCAGTTTATACAAATGTGTATCTTAGCACCAAATACCGATAGTTAATAAATTTAATTTAAATGGTTTAATTAAATTTGAAAAAAATGATCGATTATAACAAGCAAACCTTTCTCTATTGTATTTATACTTAATTAATTAAACTGTATCGACTATTATTCAATTACTTACTTTTTCTGCAAATCTGGCATACTTTCCTTCCTCAGATATAAAATCGCTAGAACACCTTTTTAAGTGTGCCATCAGGTATTTTCGAACAACCTTTGTGGATGGCAATATAACACTGCATGCAACAGACAATAAAGCCCAATTTCGCAGGTTTACCCTCGAGTTAGCATCAGGGTGATCCGTAGTTTGCTTAATAAGTTGAAGATAAAGTTCATTCAATAGAGAATCCTTTCTCATGCATTTATCCATAATGGATTGCACTATTCGTACATGCTCATCCTCCACTCGTTTTATTGTGTCACCTGTAAATAATATTAAGTTATTTTTGTCATTTTAATGAATCGATAAAAAAAGAAGTAAGAAAACTCTAGTTGAAAGTGCTCGACTAGATAGATACAACCCTGAACTAAGCTAATAAAGAAGCACATTTAGGTTCAAAATTTCAATTTCGATATACGTATGTACATATGTATGTATTTGAAAATTTAAATGATACAAGTAAGAAAACTCTAGTCGAGACTGCTCGACTACGTGATACCCTGAAACGTCCACACACACGCCCATGGACAGTCGCATGAGTTGCGGTAATTCATACCTGAAGGAGAGAAATAAATAATTTCAGTGGTTCTTTTTATTTAAAAATGTGTATTTTTATTGATCTGCTCGCTTGGCTGTCCAAAATAGCTTTGAACTCAGCTCTTCATTTTGCTCTTCTACTCGCTGTGCCTGCAGTTCCTATCTATGTCGCCAGAAAATTTGAGTATATCCGTTGTCTGTCGCTAGAAATCTCGCGATTTTTTCGTCATCTGTGGCGACGCTGTGACAAGTAGGCTTATGTCTTTTATTATGTTGATCTTGATTTTTGCAGGATTGGTGTTGATACTGTGATTTCATCCTTGTGGAAGATTTCGGAGTCATCATAAATTAGCCCCTTAATATTTACTTTGTATACCCTTAATCCATTGAAAATGGGAAATCAGGGTATTATGGTTTTGTTAAAAGTATGTAACAGGCAGA